TAGAAAAAGTTCAAGTTATCTGGCAAAAAAGAAAACACTTTTTTGTGTGTGCATAGTCAGCTGAAAGTCTTTTTTAAGTGAAAAATGATTGAGGTTTGGAAAGAATGTAAGTAAACTTCATGCCAGATCTTTAATCCAGAATATTCAAGGGTAGCCAGAGTACTGCATTTTAAAGAGACAGTACTTATACTTTGAATTAATTGTGTAGTCAGCTGTGGCATTCCATGATCACTAGATAATGTTCTCTTTTTGGCCTTGTATTATACTTTGGGGAAACTTAGTACAAGGTCCAGGAAGTTGATGTGATTTCAGCAGTCCAACTTTCACTGAGATAATTTGAAGATCGGGCTGTGATTTCTAACTTTTTAAACTGATTTTACTCTTTTGATTGAAGTATGATTTTTTTTTCCTGTTTGGAAAAGTATTCTGATCCCTTTTTAATATATTGTTCCATGTAAGTGATTAAGTGATGATCAGAATTTATCTCATGAATCTAAAAAATTAAAATAGTCATAGATGTAATGTAAACATTAGGCAAAAACTGGGGGGAAATTTTTTTTTTTGGCTAGAGCTAACATTGTTGGCAGTAAGAAGATTCAGAGTTAGGCAGCCAGTTTTCTGTAGTGTCAAATTGCAGTCTGAGAAAGTATGGAATTTACATGGCTTTGTCTCCGTTTATAAGTGGATTTGCCAGTTCTTAAAGACCCAAGCACTGGAGATTCTGCTATGGTAGAAATCCTGAGCGGAGAGCTTACATGGTGTAAATAAAATATGCCTCTAGCCCTGGCCAGTGTTGCTTAGTTTGTTGAGCATCACCCCATGTACCGACGGGTTGCTGGTTCAGTTTCCAGTCAGGGCACGTGCCCAGGTTGCATGTTCAGTTCCCAGTTGGGGTGCATTTGGAAGGCAACCAATCAACCGATTGAAGTTCCTCTCTCACATCAGTGTTTCTCTCTCCACCTCTTCTTTCCTTTCTTTCTAAAAATCAATAAAAACATTTTTTTAAAAATGTGCCCCTTTAGGTTAGCTTTATCCTAACCTAAAGGTAAAGTTTAAGTGTTCTGATTCTTTTATATTATATGTAACTCTTTGTGTGGTAAAAAGAAATCTTGAAAAAATGAAACAAAGATATGCGAAGCAAATATTAACAGGTATTAACAAGCAAGAGTCATTCATTCATCAACCTTTATTATAAAAGCCACTGAGAGAGAAGGGTAGGGCTTTTTTCCCCCTCTTCTCCCTTTCTCCTGATTTAAATTTATCCAGCTAGTTACTAGCACAGCAAGGCCTTTCCTTTGAGGATCAGGGATGGAGGGGAGATGTGCAGAGGAAACTAATTTAGCCTCATATTAGGAAAGCAGAACTGAATCCTCTCTGCTGTTAGGCAGCAATGTCTGGCACCAATTTTCAACTCCACAGATGGAGATAAATAAGGGGGCAGAGAGAAACTAGGAGTGTCCCTTCCTTCTGCCCCTCCCCCAAGACTGTAAGAACCCAGAATAAGAGGGACACTTCCCCTCAGCACTGCCGTGTAAATCTCACTCATGCAGTCAAGCTCTACCTCTGGAATCCAGAGAAAGAATTGTTTTCTTATGTGTGTAGGTGCTTGAACACATTTGGACCTTTAGCGTTGATTTAAATTTAAATATCTTGGGGATAGGAAAAAGGGAAGTGTGTGTGTGTGTGTGTGCGTGCGTGCGTGCACACACACGCATGCACCTGTCTGCCTGCATTTTGAAAAGGTGCAGAGGAACCTAGTCCCCCACATATATTTGCATTGGGACCTCTACTTCACCAGTCCCCTGACAGTATATAGGGGGGATGAGGGATGGTGTATGAGAAGAAAGAGTATTACACATTATTGGCTTATTTATGTACCTTTTCATTGGGTTTTCCCCCTTAAGATTTAATCAAGTGGTGATTTTCTTCCTAGACTAACCAGTAGGAGCCCATTTGATCTGTAATGTTTTATTTTTAATTTAATTTTTTTATTGATTTTAATTTTTAAAAATATATCTTTATTGATTTCAGAGAGAGGAAGGGAGAGAGGGAGCAAGAGAGAGAGAGAAACATCAATGATGAGAGAGTCATTGATCGGCTGACTCCTGCATGGCCCCTACTGGGGTTCAAGCCCACAACCCAGGCATGTGCCCTGACTAGGAATTGAACCTCAATCTCCTGGATCATAGGTGCATGCTCAACTGCTGAGTCACCCCAGCTGGGCTCTGTTGATTGTTTTTAGAGAGGGAGAGAGAGAGAGAAACATTGGCTTATTGTTTGACTTATTTATGCATTCGTTGGTTGTTTCCTGTATGTGCACTGACCAGGTTCAAACCTGCAACTTCTGCGCATCAGGACGATGCTCTAAACAGCTGAGCTACTCTCCTGTCCAGGGACCTGTAATGCTGTTTTAATACAATCCCATTCATTTGTAACAATATTTTAAAATTACTTTTTATTGCAGATGTATGCCAGTTAGCTACATTATAAGTAGTTTTTGAGGCAGTAGATAAACTGAAAACCCAATCCAAAATTTCTTAGTGGCATAAGAAATTAATGTGGAACATTATCTGATGGCCTTTCTTAGCAATTGGATACCTGTGGGCTCATATTTCTTCTATGGAAATTTCTTACAGTAACCAAAGTTTTTTGGATATGTAAATTTAAAGTAGTATTTGACTTAGTTTTCTTTTATGATTTAATGATACATTTCATTCTGAGCTTACTGTGATTGTAATGGTGCTATAATACATACTGGAACCAGTTTTTTATTGTGGAGGTTATTTATTTATTTTGCTTTTTCCCTCTTCCTTAGTAATCTACTCTTTTGCAGTAAGCTTCCTGGTATATACCTGTTCTAGAAAAAAACAGTTTACATATACCTGTATTATGACAATGGAGGATCAGTAGATGCCCTTTCATTACAAACAATAATAAATTATTACTGAAAATCATATTAAATAGCATTTCCCCAAAAGATTTTACTTCTTTGCATATTTCATACAGGTTCTCTTGAACTTTGTTCTCAATTTCTTGGCTTTTATTGTCAAGTGCATGCATGTATAGTCAATTCGAGTCACTTTGTAGATGAGTCAAAGCAAATATTTACATTTTATTTATAGCTGTCATTTTCTTTCCAATTTATTTATCTCTTAATGTCTCTTTTGATGGTTTTTCTAATATTTCTATATAGCCAGGTCTTCTTAATTGAGTCTTGTTAGTCTAATAGTAGTGTAAGCAGTAGAAATAATTTTATGTAAAATCATTTTGTGTTTGTCTTGGGAATAAACATACTTTAGAAATTATTATTAAGTAGTTCCCTGGTTATCAAAAACACAATTCATGTAACTTTTCTGTGTTTCAGAAACCTTTTTCCGAAAAGGACAAAGGAACTCAAATCAGTTGTCCATAGTGCTCCTGGTTGGAAATTATTTGGTAAAGTTCCTCCCAGAGAGAATCTTCAGAAAACTTCCAAAATTATTCAGCAGGTAAGTACTAATATAGCCATGTGGCTTGTCTTAGCTTTTCAAATACCTTTTCTTGATAATTAACCATATCCTACTTTCATATATTTTTGTACATATAAAATTTTGGGGTTATAGATATTTGTACCAGCCTTAATATTTTCTCTTAAAACATGAGCATATTTTCAGTTTTTTTTTATGGTTGTGAAAATTCTTTAAAGTAATAGACCATTGATTTTGTTTCTTAGTTTTAGTTTGGATAGCTTTCTATTGTTAGCTAACTATTCTCACCACATACTTTAACTTCTAAGTGAACATTGTAGCATTTTGCCAGCCTCACAGATTTTATGGATATAGGTAGTTGTAGTTGTGAATTTATGAAACAGTAAAAAGCAAAAACTGAGTCGATTTTGAGGTCGAACTCTTTCCTTGGTTACTTTTCTGGTGTTCTGCCTAAACCAAGGACTTTGTGAGATGGGTGGGTATATAATCTTTTTTAGTAATTTAGGAGCTAATTCTTCTAATATCTGTATTAATATTTATATTCTTGAGTTTTTAAGAATTTCATATCTTAATCTGACTCTTAAACTTGTGCCTTTCAGTAGTAGTAGATCAGTGAGACTGGAAAGCAGCAAGACTCGATCAAGTTGTAGCATTATTAAGTTAGGAGAACTTGTTGCTCAGAATTAGATATATAATAAATTTCCAATTTCTCTGCTTCCCAGTTGTAGTTTATCAGATTTAACACAACTGGCATTATAAAAGTAATCACATTAAGGCAATAATCATCATTCAAATTGGAAAAAATATTTTCCTTTAAGCATTTAATAGTGTTTTATTGCTCAAAAGAAAGACTGATTTCCCAAAAGTAATGTAAGAAAATAATTTTTAGATCTTTAGAAACATTAGTTATAGTTAATTTTATTTACAATTAATTAAAATATTGACTAGTTTAAATAACTTCTTGGACTTAAAACTATACTGATTCCCAAGGTGTGTGCTCAGGGACCCATGTGCTTCAGCTAACGGGGCAACCATGATGCTCCACATGTGTCAGATATGTTAGACTGTTAGCTTGAGGTGTTATGCAATTTCAGCATTAAATGGTACTATATTTTTTTCTGTGGCATCATATCTTTGTGAATCTACTTTTTCTGAGGTTCTGGTAAAAATAAAATACTGTGCAAAAATCAGTGTGGAACAGGAAAAATGAGGGTGATGGTATGGTGTCTAGTCTGATTTCAAGTTTTGTGAAATTGTACAGTGCACAACAGGTATATATGTCCAATTAGTAATTAATTGTGGTTATTTAAGAATGAAATAAACTCTTTTTCTTTATGTGTATTATATTTTCAAATGGCTACTGTTAGGATATAAATCCTATTAAATTGTTGGACATAACTACTATAATTATTAAATAGAATGATTAGGTATTTTTGTTGGTTTGGGGGGCACCATGGAAAAATTACTGAGACACTGAGGGCACTGTTAACCAAGAAAATTTGGGAATCTGCTGTCTCAGCATCTTAAATCTTAACTTTTTGTTGTGTGTAAAGTCTGAAAGTAACTTCTCTTGTCTAGAGTTTTTCAGAAGACCAAGTTCGCCCTCTAGAGGCAAAACAGTGGTCTTGATATTGAAGGTTTGTATTCCTCCTTTATGGTAGTTTACCTTAAATATGCATGTGCATACACTTTTATACTTTTATGTAAACTAACATTGTGCTATATCTTATTATAGGTGTATAAATAAGTTATTGGGTGGATAATTACCCATTTATTGATATCCCGTATACATTTAATCTGCTGTTTTTATTTTGGAAAGCCACATTCTTTCTCTTTTTTATATATATTGTGTGAATTTGATGACTGGTCAGGAAAAGAACAACTCTTATTTTCATATGGAAAGAAAGAATGGAGTTGCTGTCCTTTACAGCCCTTTCTCTGGCTTTTTACAGATGGTGATTTCACCCAGCTACTTTTAATTTTTGAACTTTTAAGTTGTGGGTAGATACTAGTGTGCATTTTGATCCCTTTTTCATGGGTCTCTCTTTGTTTTGGGGAGGTGTGATGGATGGTGAAATTGTTCCCCTGACCCTTTTCTACCCTCAAAATATGTATCTCTCTCACCATGTGGTGGGACATGTTTCTGCCTCGCCCTTTCTGCTTTCTCCTCCCCTGCTTCCCTGTGCCCTCTGCTTCCCGTTTGTCTAACTTTGCTGTCCTCTTCCATGCAATTTTCATTTTCAGGAAGGGCATGATTTCCTTTTATTAGTCATAGTGAATTTACAACTTTATGTCTCTGTTCCTGCCTGAAACATTTTTTAACAGCCTTGACTCTGTAAAACATTATTAATACAAAACTGTTTTTAAGATCTTTTACCACGTACTCCTTTCAAATGGATGTTACATGTTTGGAATCAGAAATCAAAAATGAAGATATTGCTCCCTCGTTGGTTTGGCTCAGTGGTTAGAGCGCTGGCCCATGGACTGCAGGGTCCCGGGATCCATTGTGGTCAAGGGCACATACCTCAGTAGCAGGCTGATCCCCAGCCCTGGTCAGGGTGCATGCAGGAGGCAACCAGTCGATGTGTCTCTTTCACATGGATGTTTCTCTCTCTCTCTGTCTCTTCCTCCCTCCCTTCCACTCTCTCTGAAAAACAATGGAAAAAATATCATCAGAAGAGGATTAAAAAAATAAAAAGAATCATTTTAAAAAAATGAAGATGTTGCTAGTAAAGCCATGAAGAATGTTAGGACACATCTGCCATGTCTTAGGGTAGGGTCTTAATTTATGAAGGCTGAAGAAAATGAAGGTAGCTAGGAATACCAGTGTAAATCTGCCCGAAAAAGTGAGTAGTGCCAAAAGTACTATGGAAAAATAAATTCCTTTGAGCTTTCTGAAGATGCCTTACTTGCTTATTGAGTGACAAAACAGTAAGATTTATTAGGAGGTTAGAGTACTAGTATTTTTATAGGATAATTATTTTTTAAAGCAGATAATTCAGAAAGTAGTTGCCATATTTTTAAGTATGAGTATAATCATGTTATTGGGCTGGACTTTTTTTAATGGAAAGATACAAGATTATAGACATTATATAGGAAAGTAAGGTTTGATTTATAAACTTTTTTTTTTCTAATAATTGTTAATTACACAAATAACACATTATATTCTCTCTATAAAATAGAAAACATTATAGGAAGATACATTTCATTTTACTTTCCCTTTGCATTTTTAGGCCTTTTAAAATGTGTTTTTGTGTGGGAAACACATAATTATTTTTACATGTATATATATTGTTTACATGTTACATATATTTTGTGTAATATTTCAAAAACAATGTCTATGTGTATATACATATATATGTACATATTTTGTTTTGCTTTATTTAATTTTACATGTTGTACACCTATAGCTTTTCAGAGATACATGAAATTCATAAGTGAAAGATAATTGTAGGTTAAATATTTTTTAATTGTATTCTTACAGTAAATTTTTTTAAAGAGCTAATCAATTTTAGCTCTCCATGTTAATAGTAAAGAAACATAAAAATTATTTTAGGATAAGAGCAAAATTGAGCTGATTCAAATTTGGCATTTAACTTGACAGTCACTTCCCAAATCACATGAATATTCATAGTTATTTTGTGAGGATTATCACGTGCTCTCTTGCAGGTGTGAAATTCCTGCTTGTGTCCTTTTGAACCAGTTGGTGAGCCATGTTAAAAATTGCATCTATTAATTATAAATAATATTTCAGTTATATTATAGTTCAATTGACGTAAGTTTTTGGTTTCTCTAAATTAATAGGCCGAAATTGGAATACAGCTACATATTTGTCTTATGACCTCCAAACTGCAAGTGAGAATAGTTACAAATGAGCCATATTATGCATAATTGGAACATAATTTCATACTAGATTGAATATATATACTCTATTTATGTCAAACTGACAATCTTTCAGTAGAAAGTAATTGGTTTTTTTTTGGCTAGGCACTGTTTTTATATTGGTATCTTTAATGAGAAAATAAGATTTTAGTACTTAGACAATGTTTCAAGGTTTTCATTGTTCGTGTATTTTTCTGAGTGAAGTTTTAATTCAGTGATTGAATCACTTTCACATAACTTTTGACAGGCAAGGAAAAAAGTTTTATGACACTACACAGATTTCTTAATCTCAGTACTTTAAACTGTGTAAAAGTAGAATATGTCACTCTCCTCAGTTAAACTTTTGCTTTTGAATTTTTTACTACAGGAACAATAACATAGCAAGGACTTGAATACATGTGCTTTGTGAGCAGTCGCTAAATATATAACATTTTGAAAGTATTAGAGCTTAATTTTCTGATTACTAACTTTGTTATATGTAGTATTAGAACATTTGAGAAGAGTTCATTGGCTTTAATTATAGATATCCTTGGTGTAAAATTTGACTAAGTGGTGCAAAAATTAGTGATTGTCTTCATTGTTAAATTGTGGAGGGCTGGACTATGTTCAGACTTTATTTTTGGAAAGTCCTTAAAAATGTTACATCTTTGCATGTTTATTTTCACCTTTATTTACCTAATGTATTGTCACCTTGAAGGTAGTGAATAGCTACCTTTGAAGCTGCATGAGTGTGCTTTATTTATAGTTCATGATAAATTATTGTCTTTCCTCTGTGAAAATAAATTAACTTTATAAAAGTTAATTTGTGTGGTCTGAAGATTGAGAGAGGAATTTATAACAGTTCTGGGCCTGAGCTGCTGGGAGAGGGAAGAAGTATGAATGTTAAGAGAGAAGTTTAAATTAGTTAAACTAAAAGAGCAAAAACAGTAAGTTCTCAAATTGAATAGAGTAGGATTTGGTGTGGTGGGGGTGGGGATTTTTTCCTGTTATCAGAGATAGACTCAGAAAGGGGTTCCAGTTTGAAAATACTCTGACTACCTGTTATTTCATTCCATAAATACAGTTTGAGTATAAAAGTTATAGTAAAAGTTGTATTCACTCTACCTTTATGTCAGTCAGACTTGTGTATTATGTTAGGCTTCAAGTTAGACTAAACAAAATTGTGCTAGTAACTTTGCCAAAATAAAGTTTACTAAAGCACTCCTATATGCCAGAGGGATGTGAAATACTTCTCCTCAAGGTTTCAGTCAAGCTTGAATGATGGGATGGGTTGTTGTTTCTCCTAATTCACAGATTCTGGAAGAAAATTTAGAATTTGTAAAGGCATCATAATCAGCTTAACCCCCTCTACTGCAAGAGTGATGGTTTCCCCGGTTCTTGGATCGAGTTGAGGAAGAGAACCTCTTTACCTTGAGCAGACATGGTCTTAAGGTGGTAGAAATGTTCACATGGGGAGTTTCTTCCATTTCTGAAATATTTTTTTTTTACTGTCTATAAACTGTTCACAGCATATGGAAATATGAAGGTTTACTTGGTAATTGTGGGTTTAACATTAACCCCTTTTAGAGAAGTGCTCTCAGTGTTCACTGAAACTAAAAGTTGAGTCAGTGTACAGGGTGTGCCCTGACCGAGAATTGAACCCCGATCTCCTGGATCCTAGGTCGGTGCTCAATCCCTGAGCCACGCTGGCTGGGCTAGTTTGATCTTTTTTCATCTTTCCCTCCTAGTACACCTCTCTGGTAGATCTCTCTAGCTGCAGATCCAAGGCATCAGAGTGGTAGCAAACCCTCAACCTTTTCTGTAGCAGAAATCGAAGGGCAAAATTGAACTGACCCTAGGTTCTTTTGTAAGATTGTCTGGCTTTCGTTTCGGTGAATGCATAATTCGTTCAACATATATCTACTGTGTTTAATACATAGTCATGGTTCGGGATGTAAATAAACACGAGTCCTAGCCTTTGAGTTACCAGTGTAACTGTGTGGGGAGGGGAGGTGGAGAGGTTCATATGTAATTTTAACTTAGTGCGAGTGCTGTAGTGAGTTGTGAACAAAGTATGAGAGTACAGATAAATGATTGATTCTGCTCAGGTATGATGTGTGAGTTATGTTGTGACGTGTACTAGTAGTAGTTCACCAAGTAGACAGGTGGGGAAAACCATTCCAGAAAGAGGAAATTGCATAAGCAAAGCGGGAATGTACAAGACTTCTTTAGTTAGCAGGCCTATGTGAGGGATGCAGAATAAGTGGTCAAGGGTCATTACCTACAAGGGTTAGAGAGTTGGGTTTTATCTAAAATAAGGCACTGAGACATCAAATTCATATGCTAGAAAAGTAATTCTGGAGGCATTATACAAGCTACATTAGAAAAGGGTGGGTTTGCAAAAAAGGATGTTAAAATTTATTGAAGTAGTCTGTGACTCCGCTTCCCAGACACAGTGGATTACCTAGGGAATGTGTTAAGGATGCAGATCCTTTGGCCATATACATTGGGTTCTTAATACCAGTGTTGTGTTTTTCAATTCTTATGTTTCTAGTTGGTTCTTTTTCAAATCTGCTCTATCACTTTTTACAGTTTACAGTTCCCTGCTGAAATTTCAAGCTTGGCCTTTATCTCCTTAAAACATAGTAAGTATAGTTGTCTCATAGCTTGCGTCTGATAATTCCAATGTCTGGAAATTCTGTAAGTCTGCTTATATTGAGTATTGTTCCTGCTAGTTTTTGTTAGCAGGTGCTATTTTATCTCTTTATGTGCCTAG